ACAACCACAACCACAACCACAACCACAACCACAACCACAACTACCACCACCATCATCACCATCACCACCACCACAACAACAACCAACCAATCACCAGAACAACAACAAACCAACCACCACTACCACTACCACTACCCCTACCACAACCAACAACGAAAACAACGAAAACAACGAAAACAACGAAAACAACAAAAACAACGAAAACAACAAAAACAACGACAACCCCAACAACAACAACAACAACAACAACAACCACAACCACAACCACAACCACAACAACAACAACAACCACAACCACAACAACAACAACAACAACCACAACAACCACAACAACCACAACAACCACAACCACAACAACCACAACCACAACAACAACAACAACCACAACCACCACCACCACCACCACCACAACCACCACCACCACCACCAACAACAACAACAACAACAGCAACAACAACAACAACAAAAACAATTAACAACAAACAACAACAAACATCAACAAACAACATCAAGCAGCCGCAACAGGCAACAGGCAACAAGCAACAAACAACAAGCAACAAGAAACAACAACAAGCAACGGCAAACAACAAACAACAACAAACAACAACAAACATCAACAAACATCAACAAACATCAACAAGCAGCCGCAACAACAACACCAACAAGAACAAGAACAAGAACAAGAACAAGAACAACAACAACAACAACAGCAACGGCAACGGCAGCAACCAGCAACCAGCAACCAGCAACCAGCAACCAACAACAACAACACCAACAAGAACAAGAACAACCACAACAACAACAACAAGAAGAAGACCAACAGCAGCTGCAGCAGCAGCAGCAAAAGCAGCAGCAGCAACAGCAACAGCAACAGCAACAGCAACATCCCATTTTGCAGATACCCAACTTGGTATGCACGGAGGCAGGTCATTCCTGATGTGCCAGGGCGGCCCCTTAGCCTACCGCCAAAGTAGAATTTTTTCTCATCCCAAAGAGATGCCAAAAAAAAACATGTGTTTGTTTGTTTTTTCTGTGTCCTCATTCTTGCTTATTTGTTGTGTCATATCTGGCTTCTCAAAATATACCGTTTTCCCCATGTCGATTGTGTTTTTTGAATAGTGTTTTTATGTACGATCAATCAATTTGTATGGGCACAAGGCCGGTGATTTGCAGAGACATGGAAATATTTCAGGAAACCGATGGAAATAACGAGAAACATGTAGAATAACAGTCATTCGAGAACATTTTAGAACCTTTTTTTTGTGTATGGATGGTCAGTAAAATGTTTCACGTAGGTATTCTAAGAACAACAACTGTTTGGCCTGAACATGCGTTTTTTTTTCAACCACATCGTTGTTCTTGGCAGCCAACCACATGGCTGTTGGTAGCCAACCACATAGTTGTTGGCAGCCAACCACATGGATGTTGGCAGCCAACCACGTGGTTGTTGGCAGCCAACCACATGGTTGCTGGCAGCCAATCACATGGTTTGTTGGCAGCTCAGAGTCATGTTGGCATGGTACCAAAAAAGGTATAGTTCTGTTCAAAAAAAAATGGCGTTTAACAAAAAAAATGTTACCCAACAACTTTTTTTGCCAAAAAAGGTATAGTTCTGTTCAAAAAAAATGGTGTTTAACAAAAAAATGTTACCCAACAACTTTTTTTTGCCAAAAAAGGTATAGTTCTGTTCAAAAAAAAATGGTGTTTAACCAAAAAAAATGTTACCCAACAACTTTTTTTGCCAAAAAAGGTATAGTTCTGTTCAAAAAAAAATTGTGTTTAACCAAAAAAAATGTTACCCAACAACTTTTTTTTTAACCAGCAAAAAAATGGAGCAGTCAATTCATTTTTTGCACTTGCATTTTTTGATGCTATGGTCGGCCAATGGGATCAAATATCATGCAAATCCTTTACCAGTAAGCTGCCCCTCGGGCACACCCATGTCAAGCGCCCAAGGTGAACAGGAACATGGTTGTAGGGGTTTTGGACATCCCTAAACAACAACAACAAAAACAACAACAAAAACAACAACAACAACAACTACTACTACTACTACTACTTCAACAACTACAACAACAACTACTACTACTGCTACTACTACTACTACTGTTACTACAACAACTACTACTACTACTACTACAGCTACAACTACTACTACACTACTACTACTACTACAACTACTACTACTACAACATTTACTACTACTACTACTACTACTACTACTACTACTACTACTACTACTACTCCTGCTACTACTACTACTACAACAACAACTACTACAACTACTACAACAACAACTACTACTACTACTACAACTACTACTACTACAACAACAACTACTACTACTACTACTTCTACTACTACTACTACTACAACTACTACTACAACAACAACTACTACAACTACTACTACCACTACTACCACTACTACTACTACTACAACAACAACAACAACTACTACTACTACTACTTCTACTACTACTACTACAACTACAACAACTACTGCAACTACAACAACAATACTTGGTTGAACAAACAAGTCATCCAGCACCTTCGCCGGGCCACATGTTTTCCACGGTGTAACTGGTCAATCCCAAAGCTTCCATGGCGCTGTGAAGTGCACGGCCAGACACCAGCCTGACAGGTCTGTGTGTTTGCTTTTAAAGCCAAGTCTCCAATAGATTCTATAGAACTACTACAAATACATCTACTAACGATATAATTTATATATATATATTGTACATATTATATATAACTATAACAAATAATATTATATATATATTATACATAATATATATATATAATTATATATATAATATACATAATTATATAAATAATTATATAACTAATTATATAAATAATTATATATATATAATTACTATAAACACTGGTGAAAGATGGTAGTTGTAAACCAATAATCATTCCATTTGCAGACTTGCAGACTGGATAAATGTTAGAATCTTTGCGTACTAATCCACGCTGACCCATGGAGACGCATCAAACGAACTTGCGGACATATCACGTTTCTCCAAGATAAAGTGATGATCCAGCATCGGGAAGGACCAAACTGTGACAAAACGGATACGGGGATGGATGACAACCTGTTACACCATATCTTTCGGGAATAAACATCTATTTACAAGCCATTTTAAAGTAAAAAAAATGGTACCAGGTTTTTGACTCACCATCATACCAGTAAAACACAGTGCCTCAATCAAGACTTAAGGAACGCAGTGCCACGTCTGCCACTTGTCTCGAACAAATCGAGAATTTGGATCAGTTGGAACGACGTCAGTGATTGCGTGTACCCCTAAATCAGGGGTAATTGCCATTTTCCGTATTCACCTTGTCACTTTCTATCAACGTTGATATCTACTGCATGAGATATTTTGATAATGATTCTGTTTGTATATTGGGGATTTTTTTGTTGTGTCAAAATGAAAACATTGGTCAGTAATACATCTATCATCACCAAGACGCAATAAACATCTGTCTATAATTGTCTCTATATTACACATATTGTATGTATATCTGTGTAAACACGATACAGATCCATCGAGACGTCCGTCCATCTATCCATCTATCTATGCATGTATCCATGTATCCATCTTATTATCCGTTACTATCCGCTCCTATCCGCTCCTTTCCATTCCTATCTGTTTCTGCCTTACTCTATCTTATCTTGTCTCTATCTTTTTGGGGGGTATGATTTGGGGGCATGATTCGGGGTATGATTCGGGGGTATGATTCGCACAACTCGAACATCATGCCTTTTCTAAAATCTGCACACATTAAAAAAAGACACAGCCATATGTATATATATATATATATATGCATATACTGTTGATCTTACAAAACAAAATGCAAATATAGATATGGACATATAGATATAGACGTAGATATAGATATGCGTGTATCTGAAAATGAAGTGACTGCACCAAAACAGCTCCTTTTTACAGGGAGATTGAATATATATATATATATTAAAAAGATAGACGTATGATTCATATGATAAATATAGCTTGTCTTAACTATCTATCAAACAGGTTGTCAAACAAAACCATATAGATAAGTTCAAATATCTAGCAAAATGTGTATACCTGTATATATATATATATATACACGTATAAACACATAATCACATATATTTACATACTGATATGTATCTAGAATCTAGTATCTACAAAGGATCTTGACAAATGTTGCACATGGATTCAAACCTGTCTTTCTATATCAATCATATGTCGGTACAGAATAGTACAGAAACACATATATTCCCGTTTCTGGAACTGACATGACACATTTGCATCAAACTGGTGGTTTTCTACAGGTTTTTCATCAGGTCCCATGGTCCCAGTTTTTTCATGGGAAAATTCACGAGACCTTTCTATGGTGGATCTTTCCAGTTCGTTATGTCACTTAAATTACCAGAGGGTAACATCCAATCCATGAAAAGATCAACATTCACCATTAATCATTAATCCATTTAATGATATTTAATCCATTCATGAACCACTCAGACTCATTAACCATCCATTAACCACTCATTAAGCATCCCATTACCCTCTTGTAATTTAACATATGGGAAATCACTATTAATAGTGAATTGTCCCATTAATAGCATGGTGTTTTTCCATAGTTATGTGACAGTTTACCAGAGGGTAATCCATTAAGCATCCCATTAATGTCAACCCCGGATTAATCAACCACGGTTAATAGTGGTTAAATCCGTGGCTTTTTTGGTGGTTTTCCATCCCTGGTTTCTAATGGTGACTGGATCCATTAAGATCATTAACCATTCATTAACCATTCATTAACCATCCATTAACCATCCATTCACCATCCATTCACCATCCATTAATGATTAATGGCACCATTAGATCCAGTCACCATTAGAAACCAGTGACCATTAGATCATTAATGGTGAATGGATCCATTAACCATTCATCCATTAATGATTAATCCATTAAGATCCCAAGGGTAACATCCCATCCATGGCACCTTTCCGAGGTCACCGCCGCCCCCAGGCGCACGCGCAAGCGCTGCCGGATGGCCTGCGCCTCCGTGGAGCTCAGCCTAGGAGAGCGGTTACCGTGGAACTACCGTGGGATGGTCAGGAAAAATGGGGATTTCATAGGGTTTGAATAGGGGGTTTGAATAGGGATTGAAAAAGGGATTTAGTCGGAATCATTGAAATTTCACGGGATTGATTTTTTTGAATGGTATTTGAATGGGATTTAATCCAAAAGTAGCGATCTCACGGCATTACATCATCAAAAACTGTGCTTTTATAGGAGTTAACCATCCAAAAACAGGAAGATTATGCATCAAAAACAATGGTTTTTATAGGAGTTAGCCTTCAAAAACATAGGGATTTAATGGGATACAAGTGGGATATAGCCATTAACATGTGTGAATTCACCCTGAAAACATAAGGATTTAACATTGAAAATGTTGATTTTCACCGCCCAGAAAAAATGAATTTGACCACCACAAATGTGGTCTTTAAGGGGATCGAACAATCAATTCAAGAGGGATTTAATGGATTTAGCTGGGAATAACTATCAAGATGATGATTTACCGGTAAAATGCCGACACACAGGGAAATAAAAAATATGATGCGATGGGGATACAGTCGGGTACATGTATACATATTGTATATATATATGCATGCATGCATGCATGTATGTATCTATCTATGTATCTAAGTATCTATGTATCTATGTATCTATGTATGTATGTATGTAGGTAGGTAGGTATGTATGTATGTATGTATATATATATATCATATATATATATTTATACAGTTTATGTACTCATGTGATTTGAACAAAGGTTTTTTAACATACCCTAAATCGCTCCACTACCTCCGATGAAGAAATTCTTTCACAAACCTTCTTCAAATGGCATTGGACATGATCCCGGGACCTGTTGGATTTGTTATTGATGTATGTACTATGCGTATACAAATAAATAGTGTGAGGTGATTTTACCAAACAAAAAGGTAACTTAGTAATTTGAGCATCAACCACATCCCAGTGAATGAGCGTTTTTTTTTTTAAACAAAGCGCAAAGGTAAGTTGGCAATCTACTTCTCATGTCGTTGGCCTGTGAGTTTACAAGTGTTTTATGTGTTTTGCTTTTGGAAAAAAAACAACATGATGGATACGCATGATGGATACAAATGGATCGGAAGAAAACGTTAGCACTTCGGTTAGCCTAACATTCCCTGGGCATAACTAGCATCATTCAACGTGAGATGGCGTACGCAGTCATGGTGGGTGGGCAACTATGGTAATGCGCCCCTGAGTTGGGATTCAAATGGATCTAACTTATAGCGGTGACATATAAAACCCATTCGGTGCTGAATTTATGACCCAAATTTCACCCCCCAGGTAGGAATCAATGAGTCAGTGAGATACACGGTGAAAATGTTGGAGATGGTGATCGCTTTCCAACGTTGACGCTGATTAGGTTGTTTCCATGCCTTCACCAAAGATATACCGAATCAATGTTCATATGCAATCAAACGTAAAATCAAGTCAGCCACAGTTTGCCAAAACATAGTTCAATGGGGTTTACAACGGTATCAACAGAACAAAACACCACATCTCCCTATAAAATCTATATATATATATATTCTAGATGTCACCTCCATTTTTGCCGGTAAAACATCGTTTTCGTTGATCCTTAGCTTGCAGGAATCGGCGAAGCGGCATATCCAAGCCCCATGTGTTGGAGCCTTCCTTGGCAAGGTCAGGGGTACCCCTTGGGTAACCAAAAAAGGGGATGGGTCAAGTTACCTACCCTCTGGTAAACTAACATAGCTATTGAAAATTGCCATAGAAATAGTGGATTTACCCATGACAAATGGTGATTTTCCATAGCTATGTTAGTTTACCTTAGGCTAACCATATCAAATGGGGGGATCAAATGAATACCATCCACCAGCTATGACTTGGGGAAAAAACCTGGGCGGTGCATACGCTGTAAACATGTGTATGTCTGATGGACTGGGTATAATATACTCGTTTAACCAGGTAAATAAATGAGGAGTTCTATACATATCTATATAATATAATTTAATATAATATATACATACGCTACAAGTAGGGGGAGTAGGTTGGCCAAGGCGAGGCAGATCATCATGGGTGAAGTTGATAAAAACCATGGCATTTTACTGCGGGAAACTGACGATTTTTCATGTTTTGTTTGTTGCATAAATAAGTTGGCAGTTACGAACCATTTGTTTGATCCGTTGAAGTTGAAGTACATAACATACGATCATTGCATTTCATCTTTATGTGATCTGCCTTTCCCTATTGGAATTACGAGATACACATTTTCTGTGTTTGGAAATAACATTCAGAAATGCTTGGAATATTGGGTTTGCGATGGTTTTCGCAAGTATTTTGACTCCATGTCAAGGTATTTGCCAAGTTTTCAAACACCACCAGCGACCAAGCCAGGCGAGCCAACGTTTTTTCTCAACATACCCACGGAGCCTCTTTGAAGACCAAAACAGGGCTGCGGCAACTTTTCATTGCCAACTGCCGAAACCGAGCTACTGCTTTCAAGACACTTTGCAAGCCGGGTTGCTTGTTTAAAGAATGAACAGCAAGAACATTTCGGTGCGCTATTTTTTTCGTTATTACCCCACCTCACCCCAACGCACCCCACCCAACGTAACTCCAACGTAGCACCCATCTTGAACGCAAGTTGCATTGACGTTAATTATTACCCGACCCTACGTTATCTTTTTGGTGTTCCTATTTATATATTTACATGGTATTTCTACACAAGAAAAAACAAAACACACCATTTGTTCACGCCGAGCTTCACTGATGTCCAGGTTGGCAGCCTTCGCCTCGCTGTCCAGATTCGGCTGGAAAAATCCAATGGGAAATTGTGGGAATATACGGGAAGAATCTGGGATAATTCTTGGATTACTGTGTGTTTTTTTTGGACTGAAAAAACAGTTTTTCTTCTAAGCCTGTCCCAATGGACTGAAAACACAGTTATATAATTCTTGGACTAAATTGATGGTAACTTGTTTTGTTGAATTCCCGTTGCCACGTTGAAGTACTAGAGGGTATCTATGCAGCTATAACCAGCTATATTTGATATTTCTGAATGCAAATGGTTTTTCAATTATATACACATACATTAGAGCCTAATCTTCGCTGATCACATACAATATATTTTCCTGCATGTTTAATCAGAAACAGAGTGAGACTAGGAACACGGCCTTTATCTGGCCGTGGTGTTTTTGTGATCAACGGGATGTCATGGATGATGTTTGATGTGTTCGTGCCAATAGGATTTTGGTTGATGTGATTTCAAAGGCGAAAAACCCGTGATTCTGGTGCATAAAATCAAATCTATCGTTGCGCCTAGGCGAAACTATCATTTTTGATGTTTCTCAGAACTCCCCAACTAATTCGAGCTGTATTGTTTTGATGTGAGTTCAAAGACAAGAAACCCCCTTATTCTGGTGCAGGAAATGAAAAAACAAGTATTTCGCCTAGGCGAAAACGAATTTTTTTGTAATTCCACATGTTATGTATTGATGAAGTTGGCACAGCCTGCCAGACGACCTTGCAACCGACCTGGATTTCAACATGTTATGTATTGATGAATGTGGCACAACCTGCCAGACGACCTTGACATGAAGTTCACATGAACGTTAACACATGCCCCACCCCACCCCACCCCACTCATGTCTACACGCACATCACGGCACAAACAGAGACGAGTCCACTTACCTAGCAAGTTCACATGAACGTTAACACATGCCCCACCCCACACCACCCATGTCTACACGCACATAACGGCACACACAGAGACGAGTCCACTTACCTAGCAAGTTCACATGAACGTTAACACATGCCCCACCCCACCCCACCCATGTCTACACGCACATAACGGCACACACAGAGACGAGTCCACTTACCTAGCAAGTTCACATGAACGTTAACACATCACCCCACCCCACCCATGTCTACACGCACATAACGGCACACACAGAGACGAGTCCACTTACCTAGCAAGTTCACATGAACGTTAACACATGCCCCACCCCACCCCACCCCACCCCCCCAATGTGCACGAAAACGCACGGCCAGATAAAGGCCGTGCTCCAACTATAGTGTTCATTCCGGTTTCATATAGTTAACGTTTTGAGCCCACGTTATGTACTCATGAAGGGTTCCCAACAGTGCTTGCTGGGCTTCAATCTCTGTGACTTGTGCATCACCAATGCAAGGCTAGCTTTGAACCCTTGCTGTTGTTAGTTTTCACAGCCAGGCATATAGTCACTTGGATCTGTAGATAATGTTGAAGTATATTACTGTATTTCTATATGTCAATATAACCCAAGTGTAAAAAAAAAACATGTGATGTTAGTAATTAGATATTACAGCTCAAGCCAGTAGGTCTACATATACATATATATTTCTATATACATACATATATATATATATATTTCTATACATATATATCTATATATATACACATATATATATATATGATGCGTAATGATCAGGACCATTGCGCAAAACCCTCTGTCGTTTTATCATACTGGTTGGTTAAAAACCGGATTCCCAGTTCATGGATAGTGATAATCCCCAACATGCTGGATAGTAAATAACCTCCGAACTAATCATCAACCAACAAGGGTATCTTGCAGCCAATGATTCACTGTCACTAAACCTAGATTTTTGGACATTTGGGGATGATTCCACAATCATTCCGGTGAGGTAATTCAGTCACTATAATTCAGTCGGATTGCTGGTTTATACCACCCATTTATGGTCGAATTGGGGATGGTTACTTGGAGGATCATCCCACTTAGAAACGATCTGTTAGTGAATGGGGTCAGTTTCCCCACTTCTAGGTGGGATAACCGAAACGAATCGGGGACTCTCTAACTAGGCTTATTCACCACTTGCGATGCTACGGAGTTCTTGGCCTTCAACCCCCCCGAAAGGGACTTGTTGAGGCCCTACTGGCAGGATAACTCTCAAACTTCCGTAAGATCTTCAATTGGGGATGGTGTACTATTGCCCTATGGATCCAAACACTGTCTGAGAAGGTACAGCTAGCCCCCTAGTCATCATACCTCAGTCGTACTTCCTAAGAAGGTACGGCTGGATCCATAGGGTTGCAGATCGTCACTTGGGGATCGTAGTAAACGACTACTATCCCCAGTTACTAAGCAGTTTCTAAGCAGTTTCTAACCAGTAAATCCAATCCCATAGGATCCATGGTGCTGGTATATTTGCTAACATAAAGGGGGTATATTGATGGGATCCATGGCGCACCATATATAGCAGCACCGTGAATGGATCCGTCATGGGAATTAAATCAGTAGTTCTACTATTGCCACGACGAAGAGTCACCCTTCGATGAGGCCGCCTGTGTGATCTCGTGTACCAAATCGTTAGGATCCCATCGTTGGAGATGCTCACGGATCGTCTGTGAGTTTCAGGACATGTTCCACCCATGGCTGGGGATCCCTAGGAGAAACATACAAAAAAAAAAAAACTGGAAAAACCAGTCAAAGCCCTGGGGAAAATCAATGAAACCTGCTGGGTAAAAATGTGCATCTTTTTGTTTGGGATAACCCTGGGATATCATGATGGATAACTGGATAACGGGAATGGATCGTCCTGGTTCTCTTTTTTGATTTAGATGTACGGATCATGTAGCGATAGTCAATGGATTGATAGGTAAAACATGGTAAAACCAGAAAGTAGATGATAATGGATTTCTGTAGTGATTGGAATTATACATTGATGGCAAATCACCTAAGTAGATGAAATGCATTAAAATGGTCTAGATTCCACATCCATAGTTAATTTAAGGAGGAACAGGAACAGCGGGGAACAACACTTACAACACATGATATATGTTTCACTGTAAAACACGGGCCTAAGGTTCGGCTCTCACGAAACGAAATCTAAAGGGGTCACAAGGTGATTTTGTGGCAGCAGTTGTCTCAAAATCTAGAACCTTGTCTTCATTTTTCATCGTATGGTTTATCATGTATCAGTTTATCATTTGCCCCTTGTTTCAATATGCGTTTTAGGGATATTCACCACTTTGACAAAAACTGTTTCCCATATTTCCATATATTTCCCATATTTCACACCGGCTACCCACTGCAGAGACAGGCCATTCCCAAGGTGAGCCGCGCCAAAAACCTATCTCCTTTGCCATGTCGCTTGGATATGCTTACGCTGGGGCTTGCGCACTGCTTACGCGCACACAGTGTTATCTTACGCGACAACAATGAGAAAAAACTAGCTTACGCGGAGCTTACGCACTGGGAAATCTCGAAAAAATGATACCTCACCACAGGTTTTGCTTACGCCACCGCTTGTTTTCACCGTCAAATATGTTTGCAGCATCAGCGTTGTGAGGATGAAGAAGAGCTAGAGGTCGAAGAAGAGGAAGAAGAGCTACGCGCATTCCCAGAAGGTCTTCCCAGAAGTAGGGAAATCATCCACAAGATTTGTACGAATACTACCCAAGGAGGAAACGAGTTGAGCAACGAACTGGGTCTGCAAAGTTGAGATTGGTAGCCAAGAGGAACACTTCTTGAAGACTTTGTCCATGAGCATGGTTGCATCAGCGACAGAGGGGCAATGTGCTTCGAAAATTTCAAAAACAGTTCCAACGACGCGGTTTCTTTGGCGCCATTGCAGGTCCGAAAAGGCTTTTGTTTGCGCGGGCATGTGGGCTACTACTCAAAAAGTCAAGTTCAGCTTACGCGCTGCTTACGCGGAGCTTACGCGGAATTTGGCCATAGTGGTGGGGAATTATAACCAAAAAAATAGAACGATTAAGAAAACACACAAGGAAACCATAGTTGAGGGAACCACTGGTCGGTTTCAACTCATGAAATGGTTTCATCAAGCCAAACCAGAACTTGAATACATCTCTTACTTTGATTTGCACATGCCACACATGTGCTTACGCACAGTGCTTACGCAGCACATTCTTGACAAAACCCCTTACGCCACCTGGCGCCAACCAGGGTTTTGCTTACGCCAAATGCTCATATGACAAGGCCCTAATTAAAACAATTCAAAACGGTTTTTGGGGTCGCTCAGGTGGAGGGCTAAACTATACACATGTTCGTCACCCCAGTTTGGTCTACAACACGTCATAAACACTCATATTGGCATCTACAAGCCCAACAAAAACCTTGAGATGCAAGTCTTACCTAGTCAAAAACAACATTTCACAAGCACCAACATCATATCCTATCACACCTATCATATCCTATCACACCTATCACAGCATCAGTCGACTGCCGAGGCGCGTCGAACTGTTTCCGCGTCTTCGGACCGAAGATTCGCTTCGAGAGATGCACTTCGGGATCCGTCAACCTGCTGAAAGTGGTGACGTGGTGACGAATGGGGAGACGAATGTTCAACAAGAATGGTGACGTGAGTGATTCTATGTGTATATCATACATATATCATATATGTTATTATACATATATATATATTATAATTACACGTTAAACGTAGACATTGGGATTAGGATAGAACGACCATTTTATCTTTTTTTTTTATCCGAACGGAAGGTGCATAACTCTGAGAAACTAGATGTATCTCCTCGAAAGTATCATGGGAAGATTTTGATGTTGTCTTTTTTTAAAGTAGAAATCTCGTTAAACAAAAGTATAGGTATACCAGGTAAACCTTTACAATCCTTTACATATGATTCGGTGAGCAAACTTGAGTCATAACATATATACATACATGTACATATACAAATACATAAATATATATATATATATAATAGCACATCCCACAAGAAAATAGAAACGTATTTCGTCACTATTTTAGTGGAAATGTTTAGCTTATATATTAATATTTTAAAGGTTGCACAATATATTTGTATATATATATACATATATTATGTAATTCTATTATATATAATATATATATACAGATACACGGAATATATCGTTGATACTCAAAGTCAACGATACTATGTATGTATATATATAACCCTCAAAAACATAGAAGCTAAACATCCCACTAAAATACTGACAAAATACTGTTCTTGTGGGATGCGCTATCATATGCTATATACATAACATACGTAGGTTCTTTAAAATGTCGGATCCCCAGTCGTCACCATCGCGTTCCAATACTAAGGCATGGTCGTTCATGACTGGATGACTGGGGGTACCATGACTTAGGAAACCACCACAAAGGCACCCCCAAAAAAGTGGTCGAGCGTCAGATTCACCAAAGCATCGGTGGGGCAAACATTCCTGGGCCAAAATGTCGAAAAGGGACCCCTGCGGGACATCTGGGATCCCAACCAAATTCATGGTGATTTCATGGGTGACATGGTGCTTCCATTGGGATTCACTGCGATGCATATTCCTCTCAGATCCGAGGTCCGAAGTCAATGCGTTTGGACCCAACCAATTTTCCCATTTTTAGCCGTTTTGAAAGTGTGGGTAAGCTGGTGCGCATCCTGTATTATGGCCAGCCTGTGTGTTGATTGTCCAATATTGGAGAATTATGGGCTAGTAACTCCAAGGTTGAAGCACTCACAACGGGGAATGGCGCAAAAATGCGCAAAACATCTTTGATGGTGGAAAACGCTTCCTATAGACTTCCTTATTAAAGCAAAAACCAAACACTCGCCAAATGTACCTTGAAATATATCCATGTGATGTGGTATAAATCCAACAAACCACGTCCAATTTTACCATTTTGTTGTTGCGTGTCTAAACCGAGTGCCCAACTGGCTTTATTATTGGAAATAGATGGAAATGGGGGTACATTACCCCAAGAATAAACAGGGCACAAGGCCACCATCTTGCAATTATAATTACCATAACCATAGCAAACCGAGGTTTGTTATTGACTTTTTCACCTCCAGAGTTAGATGATAACAAGTGTTTGATCCTACTAAAAGAGCAGAACAAATGATCTTTTATGGGTCACTCTAGTACGGAAAAAAAACGTCTATACCCTCCAGTAGACTAAGATCGATGTGGTCAAATCCGTTATTTCTAGATGATTTCCAAACGGGAAAGCCATAGATATATACTATATACATAGCATTTTGTATCATTTTGTCAGTTTGTCTTACATGTAACAATATTAACAGGATGATTTTACCGCCAAAAAATCCTTTTCGGGCCATCGACGACAAAAGGGCGCCATGCAGCCTGGCATCCAGTCTCGTTTGGGTTCGAAATCCATGGCCCAACTCCTTCGGACCTGGCGAAGGGAGGATGGAATGGAATGGTTGGAATACCCATAGGATCCATGGTGCTGGTATATATATGCTAACATTGGGGGTATATTGATGGGATCCATGTTACCATATATAGCAGCACCATGGATCCTATGGGATATGTTGGAATCATGGCCAAACTTTTCTGAAAAGATGGTGACGACGTAGCTTTTTCTTCTAGATTGTCTCCTGCAAGAATGAGCGGATTGTCAGCTGATGTAGGAAATGCTCGCACTTACAAATGAATTATCATGAATAATCATTGGCCAAACAACAAAGGTCCAGCCTTGGCCCTGAAATAGTTCCAAATATATTTGATATGATCCGTTTCATCTGCGGTTCTCAAGGGATTGTTTGTCAACACATTGTCAATCATCATTAGTAATAAATACATATATACTGTATATACTTGATGGAATTGGACATATGGTTACAATATGCCACCATTCGGCACAAACACGTACGGTAGTGCATCTCTGCGCGCGGACCAACCGAGGAAGGGGCAACTGGAAGGCCACTGAAACAAGCACCACCAGCAACATCACAATACCACTGTTCAAAAAACAACAAGGTTTTCAGCATATGTAATCCAGCCCGGATTACTCAAAATCCACAACTCCAAAATCCTCTTTTTTTTTTTGAAAGGTGATTTCTTCAACATTCTTCAACAGATTTCATGAGTCCACGTTATTCCACGTCATTTTTCCGTTCCTCACCGCTGCCACGGTGCTGATGGGTTCTTGACCTCCGGAAATTCCCAGACAGCTTGGTCACGGTCCACATCGATTCCGGCCGTCTGATCCTGCTCCGGGTCCTGGTGAAGTGGAGGGGTCGCCGATGGTCTTTCCACATTCATGGCCATGGCCATCCATCATTCCTGACTTATGGGCCATTCATATAATTATATAACTGACTATATATTGGATTTCAGGGGTTTTCATGGATCCAATCAAACAATCCAATCAAGCCTGCCCAGTGTAGAAATACGCATGTCTCGCAGGAATGAAGCGCATTAACAACTTGCTTCAAATGTTCATCTTTGATGGGGTTGTTTGAAAAGCGGCGTTTCATCAACCATGGTGTGCTGGAAAAATCCACCAGTTGGATGAGTTTCCCAGCTGTAAACCTCTATTTGTTTAAAGGCGTTTCCAATTGCCACGTTTGAGTACCGAAGGGTAAGACATAACTCTATCTGGGTAATTATAATATTTCACTAACCTGAACCAAGGCCATTTGGGGATGATTCCCCTTACTAAGCATGATTCCAGGCTTCGGTCACGACATGAGGTCACTATATAGTTTACCCTTCTCCTCTATTGACCTCTGCTGTTACAGTTAGCCTGGATTGACCCTCCAAGTACCCACGAAACCCCATGGAAAGCTGACGAAACCCATTGTCCCACTAACTACCTTCGTTAAACCCACCGTGAATAGCTGTCCTTGACGAATTTCAGGTCGATGTAGTCCGCCAGCTGGTTTACCAGCAACTTGATATCTTCCTGCGCTCAACTTGCTTTGCCACCACTGAAATCCACGGTGTTTCAACCATGTTTTTTCCCATCAAATATGGAGGTTTTTACTCTGCAAGTTTTGCCATTATCCACTGGTAAGCGCTTGAGGAAGTGGTTCGGAAGCACAAATTGTTGTCCAGCAAGTGTGGGCAAAGGCCGCTTAGCCTCTTCTCATTCAACAAGAAATAGTCTCGACAATATCCCAAAGGCCCAACCATTGCATTTTCCCGGGCGTCTTCTGAGAGTTGGCTGTGACAAAAAAAACAGCTGGCGATTACATGCTCGCGAGAGACTTATGAAACATCCAAGCACGGTTTCTTCAGAACAAGTATGCATTATGCTGAGTGACAGCATGAACTGGATTTAACTTGTTCCCCATCTTCAAAATCCAGGAATCCAGGGCCAGGTTCTCGAAAAAAGTGATCATAAGTGATCCCAAGGGGTACCCCATCAATCCACTGGTTCACCATCATGTTCCCAAAATGGTCAGCTGGGGGATACTAAATACGCAATGGGTCGAGTCACTGGCTGTTCACATAGTTGATGAATCTTCATTTCCCCACGGTGTCACGGTTTCGAAATTAATACGGTTTAATCCATCTCCATATATTCCACACTTTATGTAGATATATATACATATATATCCGTATATAAATACACATTCACCTATATTAACACGTTTGCACACACATATACATATTAATCATATATATATATATACCCTCTGGTTATTTAACATAGCTATGGAAAATGGTCCCTTTATAGATGATTTTCCCAGCTAGAAACCTCCATTTATAAGGGATTTTCCATAGCTATGTTAAATAACCAGAGGGTATATATTACATTAATACATCACATCAATCACCCTTAAATCCCTATCTGGTTAAATCCATGGAAAAAAAAAGGCCCACGCCATGACGGAGGCCTGGGTGAAATTCAGTCCAAGCTCTTCTAATGCGTTGTGCAAACTCCTTAGAGCCGCGATTTTTGCGAAACCGGATTCATACTGGTTGGTGGTTTTAAACATCTTGAAAAATATGAAAGTAAATGGGAAGGATTATCTCATATATTATGGAAAATAAAAAATGCTTGAAACCACCAACTAGCATATATCTTGAAAACCAATCCCATGCGTATCAAGAAACATTGTGGTGATATTGATGATTCAAATATGACCCCGGCAACCAAACATTAAATGTTTTTGGCCAAGAGTCGGGATAAAATCAAATACACCCAGCAAAGATGGGGATTTGGAACAAAACACGCGTTTCAAGATCAGACTTGGGTTGGACCGTGCAGCACATATGTTGGCCTGTTGGGCCCCCCAAGTCTCAAGGTTGGAACCATCAACCTCCCTGAAAGTATGGAATATTATGGAATTGTGAAATCGCGACCAGTTTTTAGCATTCGGGCCAAGGATGAAAATGAGACCACCGACCAGTGTATGAAATTATGTTCGAAGGAAGTTTAGAAGTGAAACTTCCGACAATATGGACAGTTGAAAAGCAGAGGTGAGACGAGTCAGAAGAGACAAGATCAGAAGAAAGAAGATGCAGATGCGCGAAAAGATAGGAAAGTCGCGATTCACTGTGTTTTTCCAATGATTTGTGGCTCCGGAGGGTCGAAAAGTAGGCTCGCTAAAGCGGCGGGTGCGGAGCCAGCTGGCCAGATGAGAGATGAAAAATTGCACGCCGTTGTGGCGCGAAGCACATTTCCAAGTCAAAATGTACAAAACACACCAGGTCCGGACCACTTTTGGAAGTTGGGATGTCGAAAAAGTGCACGCCGTTGTGGCGCGAAGCACATTTCCAAGTCAAAATGTGCAAAGCACACCATTCTCGGACCACTTTTGGAAGTTGAGATGTCGAAAAAGTGCACGCCGTTGTGGCGCGAAGCACATTTCGAAGTCAAAATGTACAAAACACCACATGCTCGGACCACTTTTGGAAGTTGAGATGTCGAAAAAGTGCACGCCGTTGTGGCGCGAAGCACATTTCGAAGTCAAAAGTGTAAAAAAACTGAGGGTTTTGAGCCTTTTTTGACGTGAAGATGTCGAAAAAGTAGACACTGATTAACTTAACTAACTTGACTAACTTAACTTACTTCACTAACTTAACTACCCTAACTTCGACGACAACAGCAACAGCAACAACAACAGCAACAACAACAACAACTACTACTACTACTACAACAACTACAACTACAACTACAACTACAACTACACAACAACTACAGCTACAACTACAACAACAACAACTACTACTACCACAACTACAACTACAACTACAACTACAACAACTACAACTACAACTACAACTACAAAACAACTACAGCTACAACTATATAACTGCAACTACACTACACTAATTACATTACACCACAACTACAACTCCACTACGCTACAGCTACAACTACAGTTGCAGTACATCACACTACATCCAGCAGTTGTGGGTGAGGTGACCACTGCAACCATTGCAACCATTCCAGCAAACATAACTCCAACCACCTTTCGGTCAATCAGTGGATTCGCTCTGCCATCCGTGATTCACAACAACCAACGTCTCCTATAGGTTTCCTATTCTGAAACTTCCGCCACCGCCTTGTGCGGTACTACTGGTAGTCCAAAATCGAGGTCTTGCTAGCGAAAAGTGGGATTGAACCTTGCTACTCACTTGTAGGAACATCCCACTTAGTAACGACTTAGTAACAGGTTAGCAATCCAAGTGAATTTCCCCTCCGTGGAGTTCTCCAATATAGAGATCAGTTATAAACATGGTTGTTAGCTACAATCAAATTACCCTCAAATCCATATGTTCTATCATGATCTTCCCTATGAAAAAAACAAAATTGACAGACACTGGGCAAACTCCGATTTCAATCATCATTTTCTTCCTGAATAAAAGTCCAGAAAGCTGGACAAATCAATAGAAATCCTACATGCTATGGTTAAAATCACCATTTGGAGGTTTCCTAAGTCATGGAGTCAACCACATATCATCCATTTTCACAAGATTCTCCATTATAAAACCATCGATTTTGTTCTTTTTTCCACCCAGCCCCCCAGCCGGTTACCCCAAGCAGCTCAGCCGTCAAGACCTCCGCATAGGCAGAGGAGCCCAAGCGCATGCGCACTCGCTGCGAGGCTAAGGGGGTCACCTGTAAACTGCTCCTGGCGGAGATATATGATACACATAGTACTATATAGTAAAATATCAAAGTATACATAGTATAATAATATAGCATAGCCTAGCAATAAATATTTATATATAGTATAACAGGATAGTATACATATATATAGAGAGAGAGAGAATGAAACTGGATATAGCATAGAACAAAACAGTATAATAATACAGAACTAATATAGTATGAGGCATCTAGTAGAATTCAAAGAAACATGAAAAAGGATACGTATATAGTGTAATTACAATAATGCTGGATATAGTAAAGCTTAGAAATAGTAAAACAACCATGAGTCATCTAATATAGTATGGCAAATGCAAATCTACAGAATATAATATATATAATTATATATAAACAAATATAATATATATATATGTATTTTCCTTAAGGTTATACTACAAGGCATTTTTAATTACAGAACTGACATGCGCCGTGCGCCACTCAGACCCTTGCGTGCGTGCTTTGTGCGAACCTATTGCGCTGTTGTTGTCCAAGAACATGAGCTGGGCACGACCACGTTGCTATGCAATGCCAAGCGACACTTGGTCTTCCAAAGATCACACGTCACCCTTCACACTGCACTCTTCACACTCCCCACTTCACACTTCGCACTTCACACTCCACGCTTCATCTCATCTCATCTCATCTGAGCTCTTCTCGCCAAATCTCACCTCATCTCAGCTCTTCTCATCTCATCTCCTCGCATCTCATCTCTTCTCAGATGTCATCTAAATTCTTCTCAGGGATTTTCATCTCATCTGAGCACTGCTCAACCCTTCTCATCTCATCGAAGCTCTTCTTAATTCATCTCGGCTCTTCTGTACGTCAGAAAGCTTTTACTGTCAGAGAGAAGCTCTTCTGCACAGAGAAGCTTTTAGACACAGATGCGTTTACACAGAAAAGCTCTTGCTCACAGAAAGCTTTTTCACATGGGAACCTTTGACACAGAAGCTTTTACCGACAGAAGATTTTCACAGAGAAGCTCTTTACACAGAGTCTCTTATACGCACAGAATGGCAACAGAATGCGCAAAGTACTTCCCAGTACTACTTTGTACTTCCCAGTACTACTTGGTACTACAAGCTTGCACAAAGCACGTCACAGTACTACTTCGTACTTCAAAGCTTGTACAAAGTACTTCCCAGTACTACTTTGTACTACAAGACATGCACAAAGTACTTCCCAGTACTACTTTGTACCACAAAGCTTGTACAAAACACTTGCCAGTCTTATATATATATATCTATCATATTATTTCCTTAGTTTGGTCCCGAAATCCTTTTTCAAGTTGCGTTGAGGGGATGGAAATCAAACTGCCGCTGGGGTTCGGATGGTACCATGCTGACCCTTCTTTCACACCTCCATTTATTGAGAACTTGTCAGCTAGCAACGTTTGATTAGGAGGGTATCCACCTATATCGTAGGAACCGCAAAGTTTCAGCCATTCCTTTGTCACATGTCCAGCGTAGCGCGGCAGCGCGTCTCCTTCGGCTTTTCCGGGACTTGTTGGAACTCCTGCGTTCAGCGCTCTTCCTTCTTTGATTTTCCTGGGAAACGGCCCAGAGATTTAGGGATGGGGGTGGGAAGAACAGCAGGATTCCCCAGGACTTTGGACATGCCATAGGTGGGTAGAATCAAGAACAAAGTTTTACCAACAGAAACGAAGCAGGTCGGCTTTTTATCTGGAAAAAAACTTGGCTGATAACTATCATTAACTATCTACCAGTAGTACCGCACAAGGCGGTGGCGGAAGTTTCAAAATAGGAAGCCTCTAGGAGAAGTTGGTTGTTGTGACTCACGGATGCCAGAGCGAATCCACTGATGGACCGACAGGTGGTTGGAGTTGTGTTTTTGGGAGTGGTTGCAATGGTTGCAATGGTTGCAGTGGTCACCTCACCACAACTGTTGGATGTAGTGTGGTGTAGCGCAGTTGCAGTTGTAATTGCAGTTGTAGCTGTAGTGTAGTGTCGTGGAGGTAGCTGTAATGTAGTGTAATTAGTGTAGTGTAGAGTAGTGCAGTGTAATTAGTGTAGTGTAGTGTAATGTAGTGTAGCAAGTAAGAAGTAGTAAGTAGTAAGTAGAAAGTAGTAAGTAGTAAGTAGTAAGTAGTAAGTATAAGTGTAGCGTAGTGTATTGTAGTGAAGTAAGTAGTAAGTAGTAAGTAGCAAGTAGCAAGTAGTAAGTAGTAAGTAGTCAATAGTCAGTAGTAAGTTCAGTAGTAAGTAGTAAGTAGTAAGTAGTAAGTAGTAAGTAATAAGTAGTAAGTAGTAAGTAGTAAGTAGTAAGTAGTTAGTGTAGTTGTAGTTGTAGTTGTAGCTGTAGTGTAGTGCAATGTAATTAGTGTGGTGTAGTGTAGTGTAATGTAGTGGTAGTTGTAGTTGTAGTTGCAGTTCTACTTGTAGTTGTAGCGAAATGCATTGTAATCAGTGTAGCGTAGAGTAGTGTAGTGTAGTGTCGTGTTGTGTACTGTAGTGTGGGCGTAGTTGTAGTTGTGTTTGTAGTTGTAGCGCGCTGCAGTGTAATTAGTGTAGTGTAGTGTAGTTGTAACTGTAGTTGTAGTTGTGGTAGTAGTAGTTGTTGTTGTAGTGTAGTGTGGTGTAGTGTAGTGTAGCTAGATGTAATTAGTGTAGTGTTGTGCAAATAGTGTAGCGTAATGTAGTGTTGTATATTTGTAGTTGTAGCAGTAGTGTAGTGTAGTTGTAGCTGTTGTAGTTGTAATTGTCTATCTGTTTATCTATCTATCTATCTATCTATCCTATCTATCTATCTATCTAATCTATCTAATCTATCTAATCTATCTAATCTATCTAATCTATCTAATCTATCTAATCTAATCTATCTAATCTATCTAATCTATCTAATCTATCTAATCTATCTAATCTATCTAATCGATCTAGTCTATCTAATCCATCTAAACCATCTAAACCATCTAATCTATCTAATCTATCTAATCTATCTAATCTATCTAATCTATCTAATCTATCTAATATATCTAATATATCTAATCTATCTAATCTATCTAATCTATCTAATCTATCTAACCTATCTATCTATCTATCTAATCTATCTAATCTATCTATCTATCTATCTATCTATCTATCTATCTATCTATCTATCTATCTATCTATCTATCTATCTAATCTATCTATCTATCTATCTATCTATTTAATCTATCTATCTATCTATTTCCCTATCTATCTATCTATCTATTTATCTATCTATCTATCTATCTATCTATCTATCTATCTATCTATCTATCTATCTATCTATCTATCTATCTATCTATCTATCTAATCTATCTAATCTATCTAATCTAATCTATCTAATCTATCTAATCTATCTAATCTATCTAATCTATCTAATCTATCTAAACTATCTAAACTATCTAAACTATCTAATCTATCTAATCTATCTAATCTATCTAATCTATCTAATCTATCTAATCTATCTAAACTATCTAAACTATCTAATCTATCTAATCTATCTAAACTATCTAAACTATCTAATCTATCTAATCTATCTAATCTATCTAATCTATCTAATCTATCTAATCTATCTAGCCTATCTAACCTATCTAATCTATCTAATCTATCTAATCTATCTAATCTATCTAATCTATCTAATCTATCTAATCTATCTAATCTATCTAACCTATCTAATCTATCTAATCTATCTAATCTATCTAATCTATCTATCGATCGATCGATCGATCTATCTATCTATCTATCTATCTATCTATCTATCTATCTATCTAATCTATCTATCTGTCTATCTGCAAGCTTCAAAACGAAGCTATTCTTCGAGACTTCCTCAGTTTTTGAACTTGACAACATCAAAAACGCAGCAATTCAGCGAGACTTCCTCAATTTTTAAACTTGACAAAGTCCAAAAACAAAGCAATTCTGCGAGACTTCCTCATTTTTCGAAGTTGACAACATCAAAAACGAAAGAATTCTGCGAGACTTCCTTCAAAAATGGAAAGTTGAGTGCAGAGCTGACGGCCTTGTACCAATGCGTTTTGCGATTTTTCGACTCCACCTGTCTAAACTACTGCGCCTGCCACGAAAAAGTGATACCGGGTCATACGAAGTGCTTCACCTGTCATGCAAAATCATCTCAGCAAACCTGAAGATCTGATGCTCCAAAATGCAACTCCCTCTCAGGAAATCAGCGCCCGGACCTCCTAACAGCTCTGATGAACATGTCTCTTGTACTGCGCCTGCCACGGAAAATGCATCTTTGCAGACCCTCTTCAAATGTCCCACGCCTGCCATCGTTTTTGGAAATGCTACAAAACCCTCACATTTTGCTCACTTTTGACAAGGTGCACAATCCCGCCACGCAAAACGACATCTGAACGTCCAAAAGTGCTCCGTACGCCTCAGTTTTTTGCACTTTTGACTTGGAAATGTGCTTCGCGCCACACCGGCGTACACTTTTTCGACATCTCAACTTCCAAAAGTGGTCCGGACCTGGTGTGCTTTGTGCATTTTGACTTCAAAATGTGCTTCGCGCCACAACGGCGTGCACTTTTTCGACATCTCAACTTCCAAAAGTGCTCCGAAAGTGAGGTGTTTTTACCTTTTGCACTGGCAAATGTGCTTCGCGCCACAACGGCGTGCAATTTTTTTTCTCTCATCTGCCCAGCGGGCTCCGCACCCGCCGCTTTAGCGAGCCTACTTTTCGACCCACCGGAGCCACAAATCATTGGAAAAACACAATGTTTCGCGACTTTCCTACCTTTTCGCGCACCTGGATCTTCTTTCTTCTGAGACTTTCTCTTTTTTGATCTTCTTTCTTCTTCTCTTCTCTTCGCTGACTCTTCCCATCTCTGCTTTTCATCTGTCCATATTGTCGGAAGTTTGACTTCTAAACTTCCTTCGATGATTCTATAACCTATTGATATCGGACAATGCCGGAAACCAGGGACTTCCCGTGGAAACCCACCTGGTTCAAGCCAGCACTTCAGTTTACAGATCAGTGTGATCCGGGCAAATCATATTTTTGTCCAAGTCTCCTTGACGTTATCATCTATGAACGGGTGATACTACATTTAGAAGGCTTTGTCTGAAATCTGAAAATTGACTATGCTTTGACAGGGACAATTATGATAAACCAGTTGATTTGTTTTTTTTGCCTATTTTCAGACTGCTTGCCGTCTAGGCAATTAAGGGATACAGCGTGCATCAGTTAAATAGTCATATCATTGAAATCATTGGTAGTAAGGGATCCCCTTACTAACACTCAACACCGCCTCCAACTTAAACATTTTTTTTGGACGACAATTCATAGATCCACTGCATTTCACCTTGTGTTCTGGTGGTCAATTTTCTATGTGCCAGTTAAGGGAAACGGATTCATTTCTGGGCATCGAATATGTAGCGGAATGGCTCCTGCTTGTATCAAGAAAAGCTACAAACCCAACAACCAGAATCACCGACTGTGTCTGAATTAAAGGATGGGCTTGAGGTACAGAGACATGAACAGTCAGTGTTGCTGGGGATATTGGCAAGGTGTACCTTCCAGTAACTAAACATAGCAATGGAAAACCCACCTTTTATATATACCGATGATTTTCCCATTAAACCTTCATTTCGTCCGGGGATTTCCCAGCCATGTTTGATGACCGGTGGGTAATGTGTCTCTTGCTGTGGACTCGGTTGACCTTGGGGCGACTTCGTCCATCGCCACGTTTGATTGCTGCGGAGAGTATGGTCATCCCATGCCATGGGAATCCTAGCAGTCCTAGCAGAATGGGTAAACAAATCCCTATGGATTGATAACAAACAATCCCTCAAGAACTGGGTATGCAATGGTATACAATCCACAATTTGACTCGACTCTTGCATGAACTCAGAGGTCCATAATGACACAGCCTCGGACTCTAGTGGTGGGGTCTGTGCATTTGAAACTATGGTGAATGAATATCATGTCGTGAAGGTCAAGAGAGCACCGGGGCCAACAATCGGAGCGCCCCAAGAGTTGGTCTACCATAAACACACATATGCATCATGCACATAATTGTAGTCTCGCAAGATTTAATCCGCGAAAAGAAGTGAGAAATAAAACAGAACAGGAAGGGTAAGGAATCGCAAGGCGTGACCAAAATTTCAAGTCCCAAGGTACAAGGCAACCTCCCTTTCTCTTTTTTTAAATCACCCCTAGCATTCCTCTTCTGCAGTCTCATGTAATTTGCAAACGCTGCCTCGCACTATCTTCTGCCACATCATCAATTTGCAAGGATGGTGGATTCAAAGGTTTTTGGATCTGCGTGCTCATGCATGTTTAGGGTTGGCCAAACGTAAAAAAAAAAATGAGCTCTAATAAGGTTGCAGCATTTCTTTGCAACCTGGGCATTAGTCTGATAACCCAATCTCCGCAGCGATGAGCAACCTGAGGTATCAAACGTCGGCAAAATATCTTTACCTGGTATGTACTTAAGAGTTTGCAAAGCGTTGACGAAGATTAAACACATAACAGAAGCATGCAATGTTTTTTTCGGGGTGGAAGTGCCTCAGCCTCAGCGGAAAAGTAGTTCACATAAACATATTTACATCCTTGACCGGAAACGCGGATTGGAGGCATGGTACCCGTGATAACTTTAAAAAATAATAGTAGTTCACCACGCGATGCCCCAGGCGAAAGGTTCCTGTGAGTGTACAGAGTGATCGGGCCACTCCAGGATCTGTAGCCATGCCCACAGCTGAAATGCAAAATTAGTTCCTTGCAAGTTCGCTTGTGCTCTTTCAATTGGCAGAGCATCTTGTGTCATGCAAACAATTTGACCATGGCACATATAGTTCAAGGACTTTTTACGGCAATTAGTCGTACAATCTCAAGAAAGTAAAAGAATACCGAGGATCCTAGTCCAACAACTATCAACTCATAACCATCAATTTAGTTTTTTTTCGGAAAAAACATAGGCTACAACTATCAACATTGTATGTATGTATATATAATGCAAACATACTAATTAACCTATGGTTCATGACAATCCTCATAGTTTCATGCAAACCATGATAATCTTTCAGCAAACAATGATGATCTATGGCATCTATGGTTCATTAATCTAGTTATATAAACACATATAGTTATTAAGGTCTTCAAATATTTGGCCATATATTTCTCTCCCGGTTCTCAGCTGCGCAGAGCGACTGTTGGGGTCAGTGTTTTCGGCGTTTCTTGCTCTAGAGGACCATAGCATTCCTTGCGACTGGACATGGAAAGCTGGATGGATCTAGGGATAGAAGCGTGATGTGTATGGACATGTAGATATCTATTTCTATATACAACATATCTATATCGGTATCTATATCTACATATATATATATATATATATATATATATATGTATGTATGTATGTATGTATGTATGTATGTATGTATGTATGTATGTATGTATGTATGTATACACATATTAGTCTATCTATCTATATATGTTAATAATATATATATACGTATATATACTGTATGTCATCATAAAGTTGAGTCTTCTCCCGGGGAAAATTCTGGTCAACGTGCTTGTCATTGTGGATGCTGAGCATTTGCTTTTAACATGGCCCCCAATAAATCACGGTACCTCAGGAATCCTCAGGAACAATCCTTTTATAAGTATCATGAGCAAACTGGTTGCGGGACATCCGAAATTATGTTTAACAAATTTAACAAATAGTTCGTTCTTCAGCGGCTTTCTGGTGAATTCGCCATTTCTGGTGGCTTCGAAAGTGGGGGAAATTTTTCCATCACCTCCACATCCGAACCCCAAGACCATCTCCCCGCTCCCAGCAAAAATACCCTCTGGTAATTTAACATAGCTATTGAAAATTGCACATTTATAGTGGATTTATCCATTAAAATGGTGATTTTCCGTAGTTATGTTAGTTTACCAGATGGTAAACACAATTCTGGTGAGTCATTGGGGATGGTGAAAATTCTTGCATTTACCACGTCCGTGACGTGGTAAAATCTCTCCAATCGACGTCCAAGAAACGGAAAGTCGCCGGGGTACATCGCCTAGGAGACCAGACTCTTCCTGGCAATGCATTTTTTTCGGGCGTCTCTACGGATGTTGGGGATGTGGGGATGACATACCTACTACACACCATACAGTACATGGACGGTATAATGATGTATCATGTGTATAATGTGTGTATATATATATAGACCCAGGTTTCCGCAAAAGACGCATCCTTACGTTTGAGACGGCGGCGAGACATAGGGTTTTCGTGTGGTGTGATATTCTACATGATTAACTATATATATATTGACCATTTACCATACATATAACATATATATATATGCCAATTAAATACACCACATGTTTGCTGGTGATTTTTAAAATTGAATCCCATTAATTTAGCCCCATGAAAGTCCCACTCACTAAATTCCTCGAGCTGATGGTTAAATCCCAGCATATCCTGTTGATGGTAAAACTTCCATTAGATCACATTAAATTCCACTTATCTGAATTGTTCATCGTTAAAACTCGCATTGAATCCCATTAAATTCCAATTTTATCCCATTTGTCGATGGTTTCATAGTTTCATATGCAAAAAAAAACACTACCCATCGAATTCCATTCAACTCCCATATCCTAATTGTTGATGGTTAAAAGCCATCCAAAAATCCCATGTTGGTGAAACAAATCCCATCAAATCCCCGTATCCCACTACAGCTCCATGGAGCTTTCCCAAGTCATGGGGGTACCCCCAGTTATCATCCATTTATAGTAGGATTTTCCATCATAAACCATCCATTGTTTGGTACCTTCATTTTAGGAACCCCCCATCCCCTTGCCTTCCTCCGTGCCTTCTGCATCTCTTCATCGGGCGAGGCCTCCCAAGTGGCGATCGTCGTCTCCGGCACTTGCGCTTGCGGCTCCTCCGTGTCGAAGGGCACCACAGGCCTCGCCAGGCGTTTTCAGTGAAAGGTCTGGAAAAAGTCGGGAAATTCCATCGGAAATATGGGAATTTCGAATTGAACTTCAAAAAAATTGGGATACTTGACGGTCATTTTATCGTTTGAGAAATGTTTTGAATTACTTTACTTCGTGTGATCCTCACCATGACATTTATACATTTTCTTACTG